TTTTTAACAAAAAAAACGAAGTCCAGATGACATGATTCAACCTTTTTTGTTATTCCTAAAGACAGTTCTACACAAACAAAACACGGTGAATGGTTTGTGCAAGTAAACAAGTGTGAAACAAATGCAGTTACCATAATGTTCCAGGCCTAAAATTTGAAAACCTTTTGAAAGTTCAACACAAATTTTACATGCTAACAGATATACCGCATTTTTCAGACTTAAAATCCTTAAATTTTCTCTAAAATCGACAGTGAGCCTTATAATCCGGTGTGCCTTATAGTCTGAAAAATACGGTATCTACGGTTGTGTCATTGTGATTTGAAAGTTTTATCACACTTTTTGGTAGAAATATGTTAAGCTGACCTCGAAGCTAGTTATCCCAAAAATACAGCTGTGAATATCAGACATAGCTTTGTCCACAGCTGCCTCTTCTGTCTCGACGATTTCCACGTTGTCATCTATGACGGCCATGGCAGCCACTTCCTCTGCATCCAAGCTCTCAAGCAGGGAGTCTCTCTCATCTAGCAAGAACTGGACCAAGGCTCCGACGTCTGCTTCGATCTTCTCCTTCAGTCTTTGTTTCTTTAACTAGAAAACAGAGACTTTTGATCAGAGCAACTGAATTACACAGTGTGTGGGAGGTGTCACACAAATGTGTAATAAAGTGTGATAATGTTCTAATTAGAGAAATCAAACAGGGCAAAAATGGTCTTAGCATTTTCAAATGCCAAATTTATCACTTGCATAACCACAACTATAACTGGCAGATCAGTCCTGTACAACGTAGGCAAACTGAAAACTCACATTTACTGTAAATTGTCCAGTTTGACAGTTATTAGAATAACATGACGTCAGGGGAATTTAGATAAAGGTTATGGAAGTTTATTAGTAGCTAATGTTAAACTAATGTAGTTGCTTGTGTGTCTGCAGGCTTCTTTGAGGAGCCCACTCTGATAAACTGCAAGGCCACCTCCTCGTCCGCAAGCTGGGAAGCAGAGTTCGTCCAGACCTCGTCTCTGTGTGATGAGCATTTTAAAAAATAACTTCTTTATCCTTTCCGTGGGCAGACCTCGCGACCGGAGCTTCAATGTAACATCCGAGTAAGCCTGTGTGTGAACTCTGCCCCCATGCAAATAGTAAACTGGGTTGAAAAATCTTCTCGTGTCCTCATGAGTGGCTTAGCTTCAATAAGTGGATGATGAAAGGACATTTATTTTATCCAACACATGAACATATTGTGGGTAAACAACATGCAAAGACTTGATCTTGCGTAAAACAAAAAAACACAAAAAAACCAGATGACAATCTCAATGACAGCAAAAAAATCAGGGATTTTGAAGAAGTGCAGAATGTAGATCAGACAAATAGCATCAGAATAAAAAAAAACAATAATCTCATCTCTTATGTTATAACAGCTCTCACTTGTCACTTGTACACTCAGAGAGGATGTGCTGGTGGGTCAAGGCCCCGACCTAGACATCATGGCATCTTTGGTTCTACCTATGTAGGCTCACATGTGTCTTATTACATTGCCTGATACAAGTTCTACAATATAATTTATAAAGTGTAAAAACAAGTGGGTGACATTTGCTCAAACAAAAAAATGTAGATGTCATTTTTGGTTTTAAATCTTAAAATACACAGGCTTGAGGTATCCTACCCGCACTTCACTTTTAGTACTCTCATCTGCCGTCCTAACTTTGACGCACTGCGACTTATCCCAGTTGAGATCCCTCAGCCTCAATTTCAACTGCATCTGTAACAAACGCACATCAGATTTACATTAAACACGGTAAACATGCTAAACATGCTAAACATTAAAAGCATCGTAGATGCTCTGCATTTGAGCTGCTGCAAATTTTACTACCTGATGATCATATTTCTATTGTTGAAAGACCAAATATTTAGTCTTACCTTCATGTCATTTACGACCTCTGGGACTGGTGCCACATCGTGGTGTCTGAAACCACAGTGAAACAACCAGTTACACAGCTGTTTCCCAACCACACTACTCAAAAAAACTTTAGTGCCCTGTAGAAATCTAGTTAATAGATATTTTGTTCAAGTATTGTATGCAGATTCAACTTGTCTTCTAAAATCACCTCAGTAAAAAGTAGTAAATGCACTTTTTAGCAGTAAGGTTTTCAATCTTAAAGATGCAACGTTTTAAAACTGCCTTTAAGATGTAACCATGTGTGCCAGAGTTTTCAAACTATCAGCGCGCTTTGTTTCCATTAATAATTTACCATTAAACAAAAAGCAACAACTGGATTTTCTCTTTGAAAACAGGTCAACATTTACCAAGCGATATCAGAGTACGGTCTTTTTTTTACTGCCTTGCTCCAGGGGTAGGCAGCATTTTTTTTTTTCCAGAGGGCCAAATCAAGATATTTAAAGCAATCAAAGGGCCACAGAGAGAATTGGAAAATATATTTTTTAAACAGATAATTTGTCAAACATTTTTTTTGGCTTTTTCTTGTTGTAGCCGAGTTAGCATGTTGGATAAAACTACGTCTCTCTGGCATGGAAAGATAAGACACTTTCTGTAACCTGGCTCTTGTGACAATATTTGATAAAATACTGGTTTTTATCAGCTTAGCTAAATGTTGTTTTCTTTTCAACTAAGAATATTGGGGGCCGGAAGGAGATTGTCAAAGGGCCACTTTTAGCCCCCAGGCCAAATGTTACCCACGTCTGCTCTAGTCAATAAAGCTGTCATTTCTAACCCGAACCTGGAGCCCGGCCCACCCAGATTAGGGCCGGGCTATAATAACGTGCAGGCCGGGTCGGTGTCTTGATTGCGTCAGTGGACGCGCACGACTGACGATCCAATTATATGGCAAACGGCTTGTCATACTTTCACCAGCCGCACGTGGCCATTTCACCGCGCGCCGACCGGCCTTGAAAGAGGTAAAAAGTTCAGTTCAGCTTCAGATGGACTACTGCCAGTGATCCATCAGCCCAAATGGACGTTCATTCAGCCGCTGCGCAGCCAACGACTCAAACAGGTGAGATCACAAAACATCCGACATGTCAGAGCAGGGTCCATGTCTGAATAATGCAGAGTGCAGGCAGACAAACCAAGCCAATCAAGTCATTTACTCTTCGTTTCAGCATATATCCAGTCTCTTTCATCGCATTATAAGACCTGAACTCCATTTATTGACCACATTAATGAATGGATCACAACCAACCTGTGAGCTCTGGATTCCCTGCAGACTACACAGATGAGCATTTTGTCACTTTGGCAGTAGAGTTTCAGCTCTTCACCGTGTTGCTCACACTTTCCCTCCACTTTAAGGGGCTTAGAAGTTGGAGGACATGGCGCCAGAGACTCCAGATTGTCCAGTTTGTCCACTAGATTCTTCACCAGGTAGTTTTTAGTGAAAGCTCTCTTGTTGAAAACCTGAAAGAACAATCAACACAACTGTAGGAAAAACCCTGGTGTGTGCACGTAACAAAACAGTTGATTATTCTGGCATGCACAGAATGACAAACCTCTACAATTTATATGCAAAACACATTAAGTTTTGACTAACATAACCCTGACTGAACTGCGTCATCTTATTTTAGCTGTGCTTTATCTTCTTATTGTTAACATTAACAAAAACATTCAAGACTGTCGTGGAAAAAAAAAAAAACTGATTTCACAAATGATCAGGTGGAGACTTCATCAAATTTATTACAAAGCTTCGGAAAAAAAAAAAAAAAAAAAGCCTACTCATCATAAATAACAGAACTTATTCATGCCTGTCTGACTCATTCTGACTTCCTGAAATGAAAAGGTTAGGTTTGTAGAAAACTCATGAGGGCCTGCCCCTTCCGTTTGTCTTGTCCGAGTGGTTTCAGAACCAAACCCAGCAGCTGCACGCAGGGAGCCGCTGGAGGTAAACATTTCCCAAGGATTCCTACAATCTGTGTCTACCATATCATTCAAAGGTCTCGAACATAATAAAAGACGACCTCTCTGCTGTCTCCTTACTGATAGTCACATCAAGAATGATTATAATATAGATAAAGGATCAGGGAAACCTCTAAAAAAGTTAAATCTGGTCCTCTGGACATTCAAAAAAACAAAACAAAGCAAATCAACAAAAAATGTAGAAACGTTTCGTCTCTCATCCGAGAGACTTCCTCAGTCTGAGGAGCTGTATTCAGCTCAGTCTCTTAAATAGCACCGTCTCAGAGTGGATCAACCAGTTTGCTGCTGGCAACCAAAACCAGCTGATCACATGCTCAAGAAGGACCATCAGCCTAACAATGGATCATTAGCACACTGATGGCTGTTTACTGTTCACAGAGGGCTGAGTGACACTAGCAATCACAGCATTGTAAGAGGGGGACAGTTGAACCCGTAGGCCTCCACCCCTGTTTAACGATGGACGATTTCTTTTCACAAAGATGGCCTCCTTTACTCCTCTCTCAAACCATCGTTCCTCTCTGTCCAGGATGTGAACATCTTCATCCCTGAAAGAGTGACCGCTGGCCTGGAGATGAGTGTAGACCGCAGAGTCCTGGCCTGATGATGTTGATCTTCTGTGCTGGTCCATCCTTTTGGCCAGTGGCTGTTTTGTTTCCCCGATGTAAGACTGATCACCCTCCTGACACTGAACAACATTGCTCTGTTTGTGCCGGGGGACTGGATTTTTGGGATGAACCAGTCTTTGCCGTAATGTATTTTGGGGTTTAAAAGCCACTGGGACGTTATGTTTAGAAAATAAACATCTCTGTTTCTCTGATACTCCCTCAACATATGGAATGACCACTGGTCTGGGTTCCTCCTTTTCACCTGTTGGCTGACTGGAGTCCTGTTTGGGTTTCTTCTCTGCTTTCAGGAAGGCCCAGTTAGGATATCCACATTGCTCTAGAGCCTGTTTTGTGTAGGATTTCTCCTTCTGCCTGGCTCCTGAGCTAGTGGGGATGCTGTCTGCTCTGTGATACAGAGTCCTGATGACTCCTAACTTGTGCTCCAAAGGGTGATGGGAGTCAAACTGCAAATACTGGTCTGTGTGGGTGGGTTTGCGGTACACCTCAGTTTGCAAATGTCCTCTATCAGAGACTGAGACCTCACAGTCCAAGAAAGCCAACCTGCCATTTTTTACATCTTCTCGTGTGAACTTGATGTATTTATCCACAGAGTTGATGTGGTCAGTAAAATGTTGGACTTCCTGAGATTTAATTTTAACCCAGGTGTCGTCAACATACCTGAACCAATGACTTGGTGGTGTCCCTGAAAAGGACGTCAATGCTCTCTTTTCCACCTCTTCCATCAGGGAAACATTTAATATCATTCACAATAACAGCAAAAGAGAAGGTTATAAAGTCTATATAATAAACAATAGAGCATGGTGCATATTCTCTCAACAAGGACAATATTGTTATTTATTCTTTGCTGTTTGTTTGTTTTACAAAGAAATCATAAGGGATTGTTCTGCAACCATCAGAGATAATTAACAGATGATGAAGCCACACTACATCTGGGGAGTTTTAAGCTTGTCAAAACAATGGTGTCAACTTGGAGTTAACGGAACCCAAGAGTTGGGAGACTAGAGATTTATCTTTGACCTTGGAGGGTCATTTTGACCCGTAGACAGCAGAAGAATAAAACGACAACCTCCAACGCACTCACCACAATGGAATGTTGTGAATATGTATTTTCTACAACAGTTGTTTTCTGTAGAACTTTATTAGTCTCTTGTGGTTGTGGAAGGATTTTGGACCACTGTTCTTTATACAAAGCAGCTTCAGTTCATTGAAATTTGCAGACATTTGTATCTACACCGTGTTTTTTTTTTTTTTTTTTTTTTTTAAAGGTACTAGAACAGCATTTCAGTCAAGTTGAGGTCTGGACCACTGCTACATTTTGATTCATTTATTCTTTTCAGACAGATTAGGATCATTGTTTACTCTGTTTGGACTAAGATTTAGCTATTAGACAGACAGACTCAAATTTGACTTTAAAACACTTTAGTAAATAGAGGAGCTCAAAATTCACTCAATTACTGTAAAGTGTGCTGGTCCTGTGGCTGCAACATGAGCCCAGATCATCACCCTCCACCCACAAGCTTGACAGCTGTTATGAGACATTTATTCCTAAATGCTGTTTGGTTTTCACCGGCCATGGTACTGTGCATTATGGAAAAGCATCCATTGTTTCCATTGCTGTAACCGCCACAGGAAACCTTCTGGGCACAGGCTGATCACACTGTGCATCAAATCTGTCAAAACGCTGCTTCTGTTTCATGCACATTTTAAATCATATGTGTGCATTTTAAAGAGTTTCTGCACAATGTTCAAACAATATTACTTGTTACACTTGTTATTTTGCAGTTTTAATCTTTCTGTAGAGGTCAATCAATTTATCCCTTTGAATTTTGATTGCAGTTTTGTACAGGGCAGCACGGTGGCACAGTTGGTAGAGCTGCCACCTTTCAGCGAGAAGGTCGCCTGATCGAATCCCAGCTGGAGGCCTTTCTGGGCACAGTTTGCATGTTCTCTCCATGCAAGCATGGGTTTTCTCCAGGTACTCCAGTTTCCTCCCATAGACTAAAAACATGCATGTTAGGCTGATTGGTAACTCTAAATAGGTGTGTGAGAGAGTGAATGGTTGTTTGTCTCTGTGTGTCTCTGTGATGGACTGGAGACGTGTCCAGGGCGTCCCCGCCTCTCGCACAGTGACTGCTGGATATGGGCACCAGGAACCGCCGCGACCCAGAAAGGAAGAAGTGGGTAAAGATAATGGATGGATGGATGGAATTGGGATTATTCTTTTTCTGGTAAGATCTTTATTTAGCTGAGACTTTTGTTTGTTTTGTTTTTGTGTTCAACCTCATTATCTCTGATCTTACTTGTTCCTATTATGAACTTGCTTGGTTGTATTTTTTTTTACCTCTTTGGCTAAACATATACATTTGCTTTGCACCTAATAAGTACTTCCTTTCTATTTTTTGATACTCTAGTTGTCTCTTCTACTGTTTTTCTGGCATGGTATGTTTAAGAAAAAACAAATAATGAAATGCGGTGTTTTTGTTAGTAAAAGGTGACAGTTTAGCAGGTACCATGGCAACAGTTTCTACAAGGATGCGCAGATTGCGTTTGAATAAAAAAATAATTATCTGACCAACTGAAAACTTGATATTTTGATTATATGGTTGATACTTACAAATAACATCATTTACGTATTTATGTTTAATAAAATGTCTATTGAGAGGCCATGCTTGATAACGACTTTGCACGCTTATTCGGTTTTAAAAAACATAGCAGGGTTAAATAAATGCACAACTGTGTGCCAACTTACCGTCCGGCATTGAGGACACTGATAACCGTAGTCTCCGCCATTTTCATCCCAGTGCATACAGATACAAAAGCGACAGAAATTGTGTCCGCATTTCAATATGACTGGGTCTTTGAAGAACTCCAGACAAATGGCACAAGAAAGCTCTCTTTTCAAATCGTCGCTAGCCCCTGCTGCCGACGCCATGTTTTCAAGCTGGACTCCGTCAACAACGCTGAGCCAGCCGGAAGTGATGAAAGAGGACAGCGAAGATGCGTGCGCACATTTTTGTGCGTGCTCGTCGGTTACAACCAATCAGATTTCACACTCGTACTCCCGTGGAAACAAAAATGACACGTTGAATTCGTGATATTCAAACCAGAGCCCTGTAAAGAGAGCCTTTACAGGGCTCTGGGCTAAACCAATCAGAAGAGCTAGCTTTTCCAAGCTTTTATAAAAGCCGGAAATGACACACGCTCATCGGGCATTTCCGGGGAAGACCAGACCGAGACGGTTCGTTCTTTAATGCTCCAATTATATGCATATATTTCTGTAATGTAATTGTTTGTCTCTGAATATCTGTAACCCCTGTTTGTCAAATAAATCTTTTATACCGAGGGCGATGTCTCAGCTGTCTTGAACACGACGTGGTAACCAGCCACGACAGTCTCCAAACCATGATGTCACGAATCTCTTGTAAACCTTCACATCAAAGTGAAAAAGACAAAGGAGATGGTTGTGGACTTCAGAAGGAACCCCCCCCCCCCCCCCCCGAACAGGATCTGTGGTGGAAGTGGTCTCCAGTTACAAGTACTTGGGTGTGCTGTGCACCTGAATGACAACCTCAGATGGGGAAACAACAATACCACTACTGCCTGATCAAGAAAGCACAACAGAGACTCTACTTCCTCAGGCAGCTGAGGCGAGCTGGTCTGGGAAGCGAGGTGTGCAGTGGAGAGCATCCTGTGCTCCAGCATCAACGTGTGGCATGGAGGCTGCACAGCTGCAGAAAGAAAAACTTTGCAGAGAGTGGTGAAGGCTGCACAGAAGTATGTTGGAGTCAGCCTCCTCGCCATCACAGACATCTACAACAACAGATGCAGGAAGAGGGCCACCTGCATCATGAAGGACCCCACTCACCCAGCACACACTTTTTGCCCCGCTCCCCTCAGGAAGGAGGTTAAGGAGCATTAAGTGTAGAACCACTAGACTGAGGAACAGCTTTGACCCTGAGGCTGTTAGACTCATGAATCTCTAACAAGAATAATCACTGTGAAAAACCATATCATGTTGCTGCTGATCTGTTTCATGTTGCTGCTGATCTGTTTCATGTTGCTGTATTCATTCGTGCTCATCTGCTCACACAGACTCATGTTCGTGCTGCTGTTTGGCGTATAGTTTTTATTGTTTTTATGCTATTAGTGCTTAGCGTATATTTAGTTAACGTTTTTATTAGTTCATATCTTAGATGTTATTGTTTTTCTTTTTCATTTTATTGTGGGATGTAACTGGGACCCTGAGTACACAATCTCGTTCCACCACATGTACCACATGTGGTGCAAATGACAATAAAGGAACTCTGACTCTGAACCTTTCTTTTAGACTTTGTTGGCACCCTTTCATCAAAAATCACTCCTGAAACTTTTCTCCATCCACTCCATCGTGCCTGGACTCTCTCTTTACCACACTCTCCATTTTCCTGGACAGTTGAACCCCAAGTACTTGAAGTCCTGCACCTTTGTGACCTCTGTAGCCTCACTGCTCCACCTGCCTCTTTCATTCACACAAATGTACTCTGCCTTGGTACGGTAGACATTCTTTTTCTTTCAATTGCATACCTCCACCTCTCTAAGTTCTCTTCCGCCTGTTCCCTGTTCACAACACACATCACAATGTCATCTGCAATCATCATAGTCCACAGGGATTCCTGCCTGCAGTTAGTTGGTCTATCACCAGTACAAAGAAGAAAGCGCTCTGAGGCGATCCTTGATGCAATCCCACCTCCACCTTGAAGCTGTCACTCCTACAGCTCATCTCACCACTGTCCTGCTGTCTTCATACATGTCCTGTACCAGTCTAACATATACTGCAGAGGATCTACAGAGAACTACCATATGTGGCCCCAGAGCTGCAGGTTGCAATGTTTGTCACTGTAGTCCCTCAGTGTTGGCAAGTTATTGCTATGGATGAAGGGGATATCGTCACTCCCTTGCTCAAAAAACTCAAATCCAGTCTCAATGTTTTAGACAGTTTTCATGTCTGCTTCAATTTTTCTTTGTTTTATAATAAAAGAAAGCTAACAACAACTTACCAGCAGGCACCAGTAAACATGTTTTTTAATTTTAATTACATATAGGTTACATAAAAAAGACTATTCATAAAAAGACAAAGTGAATACCACATTTGTTTTTGCTGAAACTGTTGTGAATGTGTGTGTGTGTGTGTGGTGGGAGGGGGGGTGGTGGTGGTGGTGGGAGGGGGGGTGTCTGTGGTAATTATTGTACATTACATTGCATAGCTTGTGTAGGCATGTGAAGGAAGTGATGCAAGAAAGTGCATTTAATGTCAGATATGGTGTCACTTCCAGACTCATTAAGGTAAAAACAAAGCAACAGACAAAAAAAGAAAAAAATACAGTTGGGTTTCAGCTGGATCCAAAATGTTCACATTTCTTGGTGAACACATGTTCATTCATTAACGCACCAGATAACCCGATAAAACAGTAAAAATAAATCGTACAGTGATTAACAGCACCATAATAAGACAAACAATTAGGTACTTTGATCGTGTGCTTATAGCAGGCTTATCAACATGAGCATTTTGTTTTACCAATGATATAAACAGATTTAAGAGATGATGAATGTGGTTTTCATGATGGAGATCTATAAGCAGCTTTGTATTTGCATCGCTTGTCAGAAAAACAAATCAGAACACTGAAATGGTGCACATCACTTTAAGGCTTTAACAAAAGTGAGAGAATGTGAGAAGAACAAATGTCAGATTAGTGGGTGAGAATTAAGATCACAGCACCAAAACCTATTAATGGAACAAAGAGTTCAAAAGCAGCACTGTAGAGCTTCTCCTCAGTCAGAACGGTGTTAAAAAAAACAACAACAACTTTGTAATATTAAAAAAAAAAACTCATGAGATGAGTGTCTTTTTTACATGCGTACCCAAACTATACGTTGTTTGTAAAAAAAAAATAAAAAAAAAACTTCTTGTCTAATTTGAATAAATATGACATTTTCACAGAAACACTTGGTGCATCAACAACAGTGTGCATGGAGTGTACAAGTAGATATGAAACATTGTGACACAGAGTTTATGAGTTATTAGAATAAAGCACAATATTAGAAAAAAAAAGAATAAACATTTTTAAAACGTTCCTTGTCATATTATACCCGCAGACTGGAAATTGAAACAATCTCTTGAAGATGACCAGTTTTGCCTTTGTTGGATTATTTAACTTATTTTGTTGGTGTTACCCTCATAGCATTAAATCTTTGACTCGGTCTGCAGGACAGATATGAAAAGTCTTCTCCAGGTGCCTCCAGGTGAGTTTCTTCAGGCACTTTTATCTCCATAAAACCAATATCTGAGACAGTAAATCATACACAAAAGCTGAAAATATGAATTAAGCCATAAATATGCGTGATGTGCTGTTTGATGATTTCAATATTGTAACAGCCTCTCCCATTAACAAGTTTTGAACACGTTTGACCATCTACATTTTTGGTGTTACAGAATTAATATCAGTAAAAAAAAAAAAAAAATTTTAGATAAAATAAAAATATATAAAACTCCCCTAATACTTTTGTCTGTCCATCTGTGCATTCACAGCTCAGACCTCTGAACTGTTGTGGCAGTCTTGCATTCTCACCACAAGCATGGGATCAGTGCTGATGGACCCTTTCACCACCTCCTGCACCTCTTTCTTCCATCCGGTCTTTCCATACTTCTGTCTAGATTTCAGCACCAGTGTGACGGTGATAACAACGAGGACAGTGAGAAGCAGCCCCACCAGTGCCCCCACTAGGCTGACCAGACCTTCCTCATCCTCATCTGCATTAAACTCTCTAGGCTCTCCCCGGCCATCGAACAGGTTGTTGGACCGCCCTGACCTTCTTTTGGTGCGGTCCAAGGTGATGTGCATAATGTTGGTACCCCGGTTGCTGTCTACTCCAATGTTTTCAGCAATATGTGAGATTTCATGGCCTGCTGACCTCCTCCTGCGATAACCTTTTCTGCTTAGTGACGTCAAGGCAAACTTGTCATTTGCTGAACCAAAGGAGTGATACTCCAGGCTGCGCTTTCCCATGCCTCTGTTGGCAGTCCCTTTGGAGCGAACTGTGTAAGTAGTGTGTATGTACCATTCACGGCCTGCAGCAACCTAAAGGAAACAATAGCAAGACAAAATTAAATTAAAAAAATTAAATAAAATGCACTACCTGTGAAAATGCAGTTTGAACGCCGAGTGCTGAATGACCTTGCTGAGTCTTGCTAAGGAAGTGGAAACTGTGTTGTTAAAGCCAAACAAAGGGAAAAAAAAACAGACAAGAGCAGGAAAATGCTAGCAAAAGTAACAAATCACAAGTTGAAAGTAACAAAAGGCTGGGTAAAATGTAAAGTAGCAAAAGGATACCTAAATGCTAAAATTATCAAAAGACTAACCTTTAGAAAAGTAGCATAAGAAGACAAAAAACTAAACAAGTATGCTAAAGCATATTTAAAAAAAATCAGAAGGAATTGAAGAAATGTATTTCTGTATGCATTTCTATGTAAATAAAGTTAAATATTTTGAAATATATAAAAGTATAGAGTAGCAAAAAAAAACACAATAACAGCAAATGGACTGTATAGCACCTTTCTATCTTATCAAGAGACTCAAAGCACTTTACATTACAATCTGTGTCCTCCTTTATTCATGCAAAACTCTATATCTATACAAAGAATAATCAGAGCTTTATCACATTCATACACTGATGGGACACACATCGGAGGCAATGGAGGGTTCAGTGTCTTGCCCAGGCACACTTCAGCATGTGACTGCTGGTGGAATCGAACCCCCAACTCTTGCATTGGAGGACGACTGCTCTAACCACTCAGCCACAGCTGCCCAACAAGTCATCTAGTAGCCATTACCTGAATGAATTGAACATTTTTACTATTAAAATTCAACATATGAACTGCTGAAATAGCACAAAGTATGCAGAAGTTATTGGTAGATTGAAACAACAACAACAAAAACAACTTTCTAATATTAAGATTAACATTTGACAGGAAAAGTAGAAACTTCTAGTGAGAGTTCAAAATGTTTAAAGTATAGTAGTTCTCTGGAAAGGTTAGGAACAGATAGTATTTTATAGAAAAATCTTTGAATGACCAAAGAGGTGAACTTTGATCAGACTGATGCACTAACAGCTAGTCCTTTCTAACATCTGTACCTGATGGATCACACAAAGAAACAGTAGAAAGTAGGAAACCTGGAACATGGCTGTAGAGTCCAGTTTAAATCCATCAGACCCTGATTGTCTGACTAGAGACACGGCTGCTGGATCATCTACTGCGAGCACGGCATTAAAACTGACGTTGTCAAACACACGCGCCTGAGTCTCTGGCTGAGCCTTGTCCTGTTGACATAAAAAAGACGATTAAAGCAATCTCTCAGGTAATTTTTAAAGTAAAAATACACCTCAGCATACTCACAAGAATCTTAAATCTATAAAGCAGCGATGAAGAGTCAGCTAGGCAGCCAAATTCAAACTTGGATGGATTATACTTCGGTACATATCCGTCAGCACCAGAGCAGAGAAACACCTTCTCTATGTTGCAGACGAAAGAATCCCCCAAGTTCTGCACAGAATCCACCATGACACGACCATATATGGTATCACCTAAAACAGGAAGAAAACAGGTAAATCCAAAATCCTGAAATTGGTGTGAAAATGTTGAATTGACTATAAAAATGCTTCATATTTATTCTTTGCATGCCTTCCGGCTATGCACTAGTTTTAGTTTATATCAGCCATTGTTATTGTGTCAGTATCCTATAGTAATATTAACTAAGCAAAGTGCAAGCATGATGACTGTGTTGGAATAGCTTCATTTATCAAAGCAAAGTCTAAATTTAAATAGCATAAGATCTGGAAATGTGAATTCTTACCCTCAGAAAAGGCTACATCACTTTCTTGACCAAAACCCATGGATCCATCAGAAAGCCACAGGTTCTTTTTGGACAGCAAGAACATTTGAGTATTCAAACTGAATTCCACTGCAACCGGGTCACTCACCTAGAGAAGGATGCAGCTGAGTAAGTGCGTGGAAAATGCAGCCAGTAAGAGAAACACAGTGAATAGAGTCCATTCTTTCTAAGTAGATTACTTTAGCGTCTTACTTGCTGGAATCGAATGTTGAGATCAAAAGCGACAGGTTCTCTCCGACTGCAGACAGGGGGGACGGTGTATTCCATGTTCTGGATCGTTGTGCAAGGGATCAGCTTCAGTGTGTAAGTACCAGAATAATCTCTTATCTGTGATGGGGAGAGACGCAGCATTTTCAGTGTGTATCTGTCCATCCTTACTGTGATTCATTCAAGTTGTGGATCAAGTTACAGAAAACAATGAAAATCTAAATATGGTCCTACTGCAAAATCAGAAATGAAGGTCCATTGCTGGACTGGTTGGTTGTAGGTGGACTCACTCCTCACGAGGGTGAGGTTAAGTGTCAGGCTGGGGTGATCCACACTCGTCACCATGGATGACATGGAGGTTTCTAGAAAAAAATGAGAAGTCCATTGACGAAGCTATAGAGGAATAGAAAAACTGATGATTTCAGTTTCACCATTTCGTACCTGAAGAATGAGACTCTACAAACAGACCCCTGAAATGAGTCCTGGTGTGGAAGTTTACCACCAAACGTCCTTGTTCATCGAGCCGCATGCTGGTGGGAAACAATGAACCTGGAAAAAGACATGCACAAGCACACAAAAAGTACAATAAGTATTTTTTTCAAACATAGCAAATTAAATAAAAAGCATAAATTAACATTCAGTTTCAGTTCAGTTTATTTATATAGCGCCAAGTCACAACATAAGTCATCTCAGGGCACTGAACAGAAACATTAATTTATAAAATAATAATTTAACATTATTTTTCTGAGGAGTAGACTGCTTTGAATTTAACTCCATCACAGAACTCTCATCTTGAGCAAGCATGAAGGTGACAGTGGAAAGGAAAAACTCCCACATGACAAAGAAACCTTTAGAAGAACCAGGCTCAGACAAGCGGCCATCTGTTTCGACCAGCTGGGTTTGAGAGGAACAGATACACAATGGCAGGTTGAGAATCACATGTTAATATAGAAATAGTATAAAATGAAATCTATTCAATTTTAACAATTCATTTAAGGAAATTAGATCAATTTGTCCTCTAGTAGTATAAGCCTATAGCAGCATAACAAGCCAACCCTAACTATAGGATTTATCAAAAAGGAAAGTTTTAAGCCCAGTCTTAAAACTGGACAATGTGTCAGCCTCATTGACAAAAACTGGAAGTTGGTTCCACAAGCGAGGAGCCTGAGAACTGAAAGATCTTCCTCCCATTCTGCTCTTGGAAACTCTAGAAACCATAATTAAACCTGCAATCTGAGAGTGAAGTGCTCTGCTAGGAAAATATGGAACAATAAGATCTCTAATATAAGATGGAGCTAGGTTGTTGAGGGCTTTGTAGGCTAGAAGTAAGATTTTGAATTCAATTCTGGACTTGACAGGGAGCCAACATCCATCAAAAGAGCTTACCCCGTAGTTCTGCCTGAGGGGGGCTGCCAATGCCGTCCTTCCAGAGAATGGCAGTGTCGTACACAAAAGTGAGCCGGAGCTCAGTCTGCAGATCAAAGTGCTGCCAGCCACCAGAGCCCACGGGGGAGTGGAACACATACGACACATAAAGGGGCACACGCAGGGTCACGTAGGACTGGACCAGGTTCAGCACCTGTACAGAGGTTTCGTTTGGCTATTAGTGAAGACGGGAAACTTTAATGTTTTTACAAAAACAAATCAGATTACTGAGCATAGATGTCCTTGAAAAAACATTTAATTTTGTCAGAAAGTGAAACATCCTGTCTAGATAAAAGAATACTGTGTATGTCAACAGTTAAGACTAAAGTTTTAAGCAAACTTCTTAGTTAATGAGCACTATTTGTAACATGCGTTTTGATAGCACATATTTGTAATACTGACCAAATTATAGCCTTTACCATTCATTTCTAAGGTTAGTTAGCTGCAGCAGACATCTTAAGTTGGGATGATTCCAGAAGTTAATCAATTATAGATGCATATCTCGGAGCTTATTTCATGAAAGTTGCTTTAAAATGTATGTGATGGTTCACAAGATGATTTGGCAACACATTGACACAAACACATTACAGCAGGTGATACATTTTGTACTTATAAGTAATAAGTAATAGTGCTTACATCTAATAAGCAGTTTACTAAAGATGTATGACCATAACTGAAGTCTATATTAAGGTGTGATTGTATCTAAAAGCTATATGTTTTTACAAGCTAAAAAGCTACATCCCATGCAGAGACAATGTAACAAAAGAACACAATGTCCTCATACACAAAATGTGTTTTACTTCCACTCCATGTTTTCAAAAGGCAAAAAGTCTACATGTTTTATGCATCAATCATAAATCAGAAAAGTCATGTGTGCTTGCAGAGCCAGCAGCATGAAGTACTAACAAGCACCACTAGATGTCTCTGCTCACCAATTGTTTTTGGACTATTTTGTTTTGCTTAAAAGACTACATTTCCATTAAAACACACATATTTAAAAAAAAAAAATCCCTCTACCTTTAAAGTTATTTAAAAAAATTGAGCATAATATTTGTTTGGCTACATAAATATATTTCAATTTAGTTAGTTATTAACATTGAGGCGATACACGTGAAAATAAACACAAAAGCAGCGGATACAGTAAATAGATTATTGGCAGCACAAAAACGTGTATGATTTTTAGCACGTCGGTAAAATATAGTCAACACTAGTTGGTGTTGAGGCTTGGCAAAAGTGTGATTTATACTAAAGACATGTTTCTAAAAAGCTGAGTTTTATGGGAAATTAAATAGAACTTTTGCTAATTAAAGCAGATATTAATATGTTTTCACCACCTTGAACTTGTTACTCGGTGTCAAGATGATCAAATATATACCAGTAAAAATGATGCACAAAACTAAACCTTTAATGTTTGTCTAGTGATTTAAATAATCTGTTTTGGAGACAATTTGTCTGTCTATCCTGTCTTTCTGCACGTTTCCAGTGTTTTTCTGTTCCTTGTGTTTCTGCTCCTGTGCACATCTGTCACTGCAGGTGTTTTCCACTTCATCCCATTAACGTTTGTATTTATAGTCTGTCCTGTCACTTGGTATTCGGGCATTACCTAACTCAGTGGTTCTCAAACTGGGGTCCCCGGACCCCCGGGGGTCCACGGGCCTGCTGCTGTTCAGTTTTATGAAGGAGGTTCTGTAATAATTTGAAGAAGTGGCAATACATTTATTATGTTCGTTAAGTGAAGTTTTAAAGGTGTTTTTGATGCTGTTAATTTTCTCAAAACTGTAATTTTAAGAAGTTGAAATTACATGTTTTGTTAATTAAGTGTGTGTTAAATTAAAAATACTCCTTGTTTAAAAGTATAAATATTGGATTAACGCTATTAAAGAACAGGTCTCAAGTGTTTATGTTAGACAAATATTTCCATTGCATTAAAGAGACAAATTGAAGAAAATAATTTAATAAACTTGAGGATTATGAAGGGGGTCCCTGAACCCAAAATGTCTGACAACCCCTGACCTAACCCTTCCCCTTGGTCTGGCTTCCCTCTTCATGTCTGCTCCCTCCTTGTGAAGTAAGTTTTGCTGCACCATCAGTAGTTGGTTTAGTTTATTTAAAAATATATCAGTAGTTATTTTACCTGGAGTCTCCTGCCTCTGCCTGCACTTGGGTTCAACACCATAAAAACTAGATCATGTCAGTTTTTTGTTTATAATTGAGCAACCAGCTGGATTTCTAAGGTAGTGCCTGCCTTATTTTCTCCCTTTCAGCACTTTTTGAAAGTAGAAAATAACAAATAAACTCTTAAATGGAAGTGATCATTCACAATAAATACGACTTGAGGATTGACGGATGACGAGCATCAAGAATAACTAATGTGTGCAAATGCTGCGTCTAGTAACAACTATTTTCACTGTTTCTGGCTTCTTGTTCTTGAGCCCCCCCCCCCCCCCCCACACACACACACACACAGGTACAAACGAAACCACATACATTCATCAGACTGATCAGCTAAAAACAGGCCATAGATCAAAGGATGGAGGAAGACAAAAGAGCAGCAGGACATGAGCAAAGAAGTCTGAATCCTGACCCAGGATAGCAGCGCGGAGTAAAAAAACTGCAGCGATTGTGAGGAAAATAAATATATCTGCTGCTATGATGTAACCACAGTAAACAGGAAGTGGAAGTCGGACATGATGATTGCAAAAAGTTTGCATCATTATCAACCCCTTTGGTGACAGAAATGTTCATGTATTGATGTTCAGCACCAACAAATTATCTCAGCATGAGATTGATGGTTTGGCAACCTTGAGCAAAAATACCACTTTCACAATATCATAATAATTTTTAAATAGAAAAATGTAAAAACATGATTTAATTGCTTTTATTAAAAATAGATGGAAATGCTATTTCTACTGCTGCCTCAATAATATCACATATTGCCTAGTAATTATTAAATTAAGGGTGTAACTGTGTCAAAATACTTAATATAATAATTTATGGATAATTTAATTTTTACACACTTATATAAATTAGGAAACTGAGAGAACACAACTGAACATGTCCAGTTGTTAGTTACTGTCTGTGGTAGATTTTCCTGCACTAAGGGCAGGTTTCAAACTAATATTTGATCTGATTTCTTTTTTAAATTAAACCATTCTTTTACAATAATGTTTCATTTCAGGCAAATTTTAACATTTTCATTGCAAATATTTAGATATTTTAAAATTAACAACAGAGAGTCAAAATGCATTTGTTTTAACAGATTATGGCAGACATTATGAATATAATAGTGCAACTTGAATGTCATCATAAGCAGTTAACCAAATTAATAAGTACTCTTCACTTAGGGACCTGAAGTTTTCTCCTTAGACTTTTATGTTTGGCTGACTGTTATGTACCTAGAAACAATACGTTTTTTTAAAAGAAAAAAGAAGAATAAACTTACATTATTTTCTTATAAGCTCTACAAGATGCACACACACTAAACTATCGCATCAAACCAGTTTATTTATAAGATTGCTCAGAATCTTACTTCTTCTATGAAGTGAAGCTGTTTGTAATAAAGTAACATTGGGAGTCAGACAAGCTGATGTTAGCTGGGTTATTAGCCTCCGTGGCAAGTTTGCAGTAGGCTATATATGTTATTTAGCAATTTAGTTCCTTATATATTGTTTCTTTTTATACTTTATATTTTTGCTATTTTTGGGTGTAACTGGGACCCTGGGTGCACAATGTTGTTCCACCTCATGTACCACATGTGATGCAAATGACAATAAACTTGACTTGATCTTATTTGATAACAAAAACAGATGTTTCAGAACAATGTAACCTAAAAATTAGAGACAAGCCATGACTGACTACGTTATCTGCCAAATAAAATGTACAACCAGCCCACAGCTTGCTTGCTCAGGATGGAAGACTGATGGTTTTTTTAGACAGATAACAACTGGCTCTTATAATGTATGTGAATTATTTTGTTCAGAGCACTGAGAAGACTTCTGTTGTGACTTGGAGCTTTATAAATAAACTGAATTGAACTAGTTCCGGTGGCACAGTGGCACAGTTGGTAGAGCTGTTGCCTCTCAGCGAGAAGGTCACCGGTTCAAATCCCAGCCAGGGGCCTTTCTGTTTCTGAGTTAGCATGTTCTCTCCATGCATGCGTGTGTTTCCTCCGGGTACTCCAGTTTCCTCCCACAGACCGAAAGCATGCATTTTAGGCTGATTGGTAACTCTAAATTGTCCCTAGGTGTGAGTAAGAGAGTGAATGGTTGTTTGTCTCGTTTGTCTCTATGTGGCCCTGTGATGGACTGGAGACCTGTCCAGGGTGTACCCCGCCCCTTGCACTGTGATTGCTGGACATGGGCACTGGTGACTCCCATGACCCAAAATGGAAGAAGCGGGTAAAAGGTAATGGATGGATGGATGGATGTCTCTGTGTCCCTGTGATGGACTGGAAACCTGTCCAGGGTGTTCCTTGTCTCTTGCACAGTGACTGCTGGATATGGGCACCAGAGACCCTCACAACCCAAAAAGGAGAAAGTGGGTAAAGATAATGGATGAATGGATGGATGGATGGATGGATGGATGAATTGTTTACTAGCATAAAATTTAGAGTAATTCACACCCCTCAGTACACAACCTAATGACAGTTTGAAGCAACAGGGGAAAATAAATATCCTGATGCAAGCTCAATAATCCAGGTAGAAAAATCTAAAAAAGTTCAATCTGGTCCTCTGGACATTCAAAAAAACAAAACAAAGCAAAACAACAAAAAAATGTTGAAACGTTTCGTCTCTCGTCCGAGAGACTTCCTCAGTCTGAGGAGCTGTTTTCAGCTCAGTCTCTTAAATAGCACCTTCTCAGAGTGGATCAACCAGTTTTGCTGCTGACAACCAAAACCAGCTGATCACATGCTCAAGAAGGACCATCAGCCTAACAATGGATCATTAGCACACTGATGGCTGTTTACTATTCACAGAGGGCTGAGTGATACTAGCAATCACAGCATTGTAAGAGGGGGACAATTGAACACGTAGGCCTCCACCCCTGTTTAACGATGGACAATTTCTTTTCACAAAGATGGCCTCCTTTACTCCTCTCTCAAACCATCGTTCCTCTCCATCGTTTCCAGGGGAAAATAAAGAAAATGTGTACTTTCTCTACTATCTCGTTTTAGGGCATTTAAAGTGTGGAAAAAAATACGGTGAGTTTGACATTGTAACCTTTTGTATTATTCTGGTCTACCTTGAAACTGTAACTGGCACTTGCCTACTCTCATTTTCTATTTGCCACAGGATCCATGTGAATAAAAGCTGTGGCAAGAATTTGGAGATTTGGTGGAACATCCTGTCTGATTGTATGAGTTTACATGTTTCCATCCTAAAAGCTGCTCGTCACAAGTTTGTCTACGGAGCTGGCAAACAGAAACATGCAGGGAATGAGACATAAAGTGCAGGTAGGCAGATATGGTGCCACTCTGTCCATGCACACTCCTCATTCAGAAGACTGTAAACAAGCTGAGCATACAGACAGGAACTCAGCGAGGGTCACAAATGTACACAAAGCCAAACACTCAAGCAGGTGTAAATAAAACCTGAGATTGGAATGTTTACGATTTGGTCAAAGGTTTTACCTCTCTGCCCCCCAGACACTCACCTGTCCGTTTGTCCCTATGGTTCCCCCACAGTCAGAGAGCAGCTCAGACATGTGGTAGAAGCTGGTAAACTCCCAGAGGCACGCTTGCAGGTTGAGGTTCTTGTAGAAGCGCAGAGTGCTGTTCCCCCGCAGAGGGCTGCTGAACTGATAGGGCTCAGAGTCTCCCATGCTCTCGGGGCTGCTGTGTGTTAAAGCTGTGAGGAAGCCGTGACCTGTGGTGACCTCAATGAAGTCGAGCAAGTTGGAGCATCGGTGGTTCCCGATCCGGGTTCCGTCAGGACTGAGAGTCAGGTCAAAGTTTACAAGGGGGCGAGTAGATATTGCAGGAAGCATTCCTGCAAAGCAAAAAGAGAGAAATCCAGGCATGACACTGAAAAATGATCACTAACTAAAAAAAGAAATGGACAAATTTTAAAAAGCTATTTCTAAAATAAACAAGGAAAATGGGTCAAAAATCATCATGTTAAGACGGTTAGGATAGTATCTTACTAGGCTGTGACTTGTGGAGACTTGTTGGAGATTAGCATTTGTAAGACGTTGGCAACCTGTCAGTTAAAGTCTCACTGAATTCTGAGTGTTTGCGACCAAGCAACCCGCAAGCTTTTGAATGATTAAGTTCAACAAATCATTGGCTGTTTTTGTGTGCATAATTTGCAAAACAGTTTCCCTGCCCATCCATCCATCACCTTCCACTTGTTCTGAAGTCGGGTCGCAAGGGGCAGCAGCTTGAACAGGGAGGCCCAGACATCTCTTTCCACAGCCACCTCTTCTAGCACTTCTGGGGGGACATCAAGGTGTTCCCAGGCCAACTGAGAGACATACTGTAGTCTCTCCAGCATATCTTGAGTCTTTCCCGAGGTCTTCTCCCAGTCAGACATGCCTGAAGCACCTCCCTAGGGAGGCATCCAGGGGGCCGAACCACCTCAACTGGCTCCTCTCAATGTGGAGGAGCTGCGGTTCTACTCTGAGTCTCTCCTGGATAACTGAACTTCTTACCCTATCTCTAAGGGAGAGTCCAGCTACCCTGCAGAGGAAACTCATTTCAACCGCCTGTATCCACAATCTCATTCTTTTGGTCACTACCCAGAGATCGTGACCATAGGTGAGGGTAGGAACATAGACCGACCGGTAAACAGAGAGCTTTGCCTTACAGATCAGCTCCCTCTTCACTACAACAGACCAGTACAGAGTCTATAATACTGCAGACGCTGCAGCAATCTGTCTGTCAATCTCACGCTCCATTCTTCCCTCACTCATGAACAAAACCCCGAGATATTTAACTCAAACTTGAATACTTGATATACTTCCTGCCCATGCACAATATTTTATTGTCAACTACTATATGTAATGAAGTTGCCTTGACCTACTATGTACCTGCTGTGGCCATGTTTATGAATTAATCTACTGGAGTACATCTAGCAAGGTTGAATCAGGTCATCTGGATGGGTTCTTCTTTGTTGAAACATTTCGTCTTGTTATTGCAAGTATCTCTCAGCACTCTGTGAATAGCAAGTGGCCATCAGTGCATTAACAATTGGTTGTTAGGCTGATGGTCCTCCTTTGTATGTGAACAACTAGTTTTGGCGGTCACCAGCAAACTGATTATAAGACTACAGTAAGTTTGTTGCAGCTCCTCAGACTGAAGAAGTCTTTTGGACAAAAGACAAAACATTTCAACAAAGAAGAAACTGTCCAGAGGACCTGACTTAACCTTGTTAGACTAAGATTGTTGAGCATGTGTCAGGACATACTGGGGTACAGTTTTGAAAATAATATTTTTATTAGGTTTAGATAAATATTGAGAAGGAGGTCCTGACTCAAGTGGAGGAGTTCAAGTATCTTGGGGTCTTGTTCACGAATGGGGGGAAAAATGGAGTGAGAGATAGATAGACGGATAGGTGCAGCATCTGCAGTGAAGCAGGCGCTGTACTGGTCTGTCGTGGTGAAGAGAGAGCTGAGTCAAAAGGCGAGGCTCTCGATTTACCAGTCAGTCTATGTTCCTATCCTCATCTATGGTCATGAGCTTTGGGTTGTGACCGAAAGAACGAGATCTCGGATACAAGCGGCCGAAATGAGTTTTCTCCGCAGGGTGTCTGGGCTCTCCCTTAGAGATAAGGTGAGAAGCTTGGTCATCCAGGAGGGACTCAGAGTAGAGCTGCTGCTTCTCCACGTCGAGAGGAGCCAGCTGAGGTGGCTCGCGCTTCTGTTTAGGATGCCTCCTGGACACCTCCCTGGTGAGGTGTTTCGGACACGTCCCACCAGGAGGAGACCCAGAGGAAGACCCAGGACACGCTGGAGGGACTATGTTTCTTGGCTGGCCTGGGAATGCCTCGGGATTCCCCTGGAGGAGCTGGCCCAAATTGCTGGGGAGAGGGAAGTCTGGACCTCCCTGCTTAGGTTGCTACCCCCGCGACCCGACCCTGGATAAGTGGAAGAAAATGGATGGATGGTTTAGTTTTTTAAAATAATTATTATATCATCAGCAAGGTTTTTAGAAGTCTGAAGCCTGAAATGATTTCTGTAGAATTTACATAAACTAAATTGAGTTTGTTTGTTTGCTTGTTTGTCAAGCAACAAAACTGCATCCACTGCAATTCATGCAAGGGAAGTGAACCCCCCCACCCCGCAATATATTAAGACATTTTGGAGAACCCCTCGCAATTGCCTGTCACCAATTTGTTGTTAACATTCACAGCTTTGTCAGGTGATAATGTAACGAACCCCGTATAATGGACCAAAATCACCACCACAAAAATCA